AAATACGTGCTGCTAACCGATTCTTAATTTGGCTTTTTTAGTGGACAAATTATCCAAGCTTGAGCTTACTTTGATATCGCTCGGTTGTCGACATTGAGAAGTTACACGTTTCTGATCAGACTGCCGGGTACGGTCTCGGATGGACTTAACGCGCAGCAGTTTTCACCAGAGAATCGCTGAAAGGTTCCTTGACACTTCCTAAGAGTATCAAGTATAAGCGTAATCGAGTTCAAAGGTCAACTCGCGAACTACGCTGAAATTTCCTGCGTGATAAAATTTCAAAATACGTGCTGCTAACCGCTACTTGAACTCATGCAATGAGATCCTCGAACTATTTCAAAAAAAAAATCGGCTTGCTTGCTTGATTGTTTTTCTTTGAATACATAATAAATACCCTTCATTACCATTATGTCTGGCTAATGTGAGACATTGTTAAACAAGTTCCCGCAGGCTAGTCGAAGGAGCTTTGTCGTCTCGTCATTTGGCTCGTCAACTGAGCGGTGATTTAACAATGATAGAATGTCTGTTAGCAGGTAGCAAAATGAGAGATAAGATACTTGTTCAGTGAAATGGAAAGAGACGAAAGTGGCGCATTTGGGAACTTTCGATGGATAGGGGAGAGGCGATGAGACGTGACTATGACCTCGCTAGTAAATTCGATCAAAAGATTTTACTGTGTACATGGTTAACTTAATTTGCAAGTTAGAGTCATCTTACATACATCAGTTTGAAAAAGCATGTCTCGCAATAAACAATACAGCCATGAATGTAATCTACAGACAGTTTTTGACTTCACCTTGTTCAGCCGAATGCAAATCTGTCCTTGCCTGTTCCATTTTAACTTGAGGCATGAATTCCTCCACAGTCCTCAACCTCTGTTCATAATCACTGAACTTTGTTTCGATTCGAATGAATCCAGCCGAATAAAGAAGCAAACAGAAAACAGACAGAGCCGTTCCAGGGCTCACTGGAAAAGAACGGTCTTTGAGAGGCATCACGAAAGCTAAATGATCGAACTCTAAAGCAACTTGTTATGGTATATTCCTGAAACTTAACTCTTTTAAATTTGATAGCACTTTCAGCTCAAAGGTTTCGTCACGCAACCCTATCTGGTGGCTAGGAAAAATTTAAAAAAATACTTTGGCGGAGATGAGAAGGATCTGAAAAGAGCTAGATGATCAAAGGTGGTAAAACAAAACTCTTTTTGTTTTTCAAAGTGTTCCAATAGCTCTGAGATGGCTTTCAGTACGAGCGGCAAAGAGGGAAACTTAACGATAGAAACCAGGAAGAAATATTTCAATAAGATGCGAAGCGGCAAATAGACAGACACGTACACAATAGCTATGTGATGGCTTTCAGTACGAGGGACAAACAGGGAAACTTAACGATAGAAACCAGGAAGAAATATTTCAATAAGAGGCAAATAGACAGACACGTACACAATTTGTTTTTGCTCGCGGTTGTTTTAAAATCAAGGAAACAATAAATGAAACGATCAACGGGCCTTTTCACTGCGTCTCATCTTACACACCCTTAAACATCCTCAACTCCACAAATTAAAGCTAAAAGTAATTTGCCGCGCACTGTCTGTTCATAATTGTTAGGAACCTTCTTTTTTAAATTTAGAACTTGTTAAATTGGAATAATGTACAGTAATAAGAGATTTCTTCTTCAAAAAATTACTTGTCATGTTTGATCGGATGGCTGTATCTCTACCCATCAGTTTGCCCTCTGAAAGTATATCTCTAAAGATTTCTGATTCCCTTCCTTGGAATACGAAGTAAAATTGTATATATCTGAATCCCTCCATGTCTTTGTTTGATAATAATCGCTAAGTTTCTCTTGATTGACCTCTTCACAGTTACATCTCTAGAAGAGCTCAAACGACGTTGTGATTTTGTCTGCTTGTATTTTTGCGTCCACAAAACTCGATGCAGACACTAGCATGATTTGTGTAGTATGGTATCGCTCCTAGTTCTTTCTAACACGAATCCGGTTATGTGCGTTGTATTTTACATTTCTTAAACAAACTCTAAACAACGTTGGAACTTATTACGAATGTTGACTTACAATGTCGCGTAGTGTACGCTGAAATTTTTTTTGACCCGATCATACTTGACGTTCCATTTTATAAGGAAACTCGTTTTGCACGGATTTTTAAATGAATCTCAATTCATATCTTATGTATTTTCCATGAATTGACAGTGGATAGTAGTGGATTAATGTAAGTTTATGCTAGTTTAGACGATAATTATTTCCGTCATCAGTTACATTGCCGGCTCAGCCGACCCACTGTCACCATATTCAGGAAGTGATTTTATATACTGCGTATTCCGCTGGGAATTGAATTTTATATGTTTTTTTTTATACTCAATTTTTTTTCTCTTTCTTTCTTTTTTCTCTCTGTCTTGTGTACCAGACTCAATAGACTATTTTAAGATTTTGATAAAGTGCTTCGCCTGTTATAGGTACTGATGTGATAGGGTATCTCATACTACTCAATTATTATTAGAAATGAGACATCCGAATCAAAAACAACACTTCCTTCTTTCCATTTTATTCATCGAAATTCTCCTTTTTTTTTTGCGTCAGATGTTAAGAATGTTTTAATTATTTTCTTTTCACTTAGCTCTTGCAATTTTTAACATTTGCTCGATAACGAAATAATTTCTGGTTTTGTGACAAGCTAAACATAGACCTTGACAATTTCTGTAATCTTTGTTTAGTTATGATATTTCATTCAATAGTTGTGCAAAATACAGGGCATGTATCGAGTTTTCAAGAGTAGGCTTAAACTCTTATTGCCTTAACACAAAGAATACATAGAGTGACGAAATTACACCTCTATTTGCATCCTTTGTCAGCATTCTAGTATAACTGTGACATGGAATCAGAGGACAAATCTTCACACTTTGAAAATATTTCGTGACAGAAAAGCGCATGCGCATTTTATTTCTTAACTAAATAAGTAAATAAGATCTGTGATCCTTCCCCCATCTCATTACCCTTAATATCATAAAAAAATATTACGGTTTGTTATTGAGGTGAATACACTTTCTATATGAAGCTTTATCATTTTCCTTACAATGTAGTAACCTCGGATGTGGATCGCGACGCTTCAACTGTATATTGATAGCCTTCCTCAGCGTTCTTTGCCTGAGGAAGTTTATCAATATGCAGAGTAAGAAAGGTTAGCCATTCACTCTGACGAAGGCTTTGAAACTCCCGATGGTGGCCAATTTACGTAATCAACTTAGTTGATAATACCAAATATTGTTATACTTGATCGCGATTTAGCAGAAAAAACTCATTTCGCTTGGATTTATCTCATTTCGGATCATTACCAGATAACTGTATTAAAATCGCTGCGGTAATTTGTCTCAGGATGATGAAGCTTCTTCACTTATTTCATTACCCCTTTGTCTTTTTATATCTTTTTTCCCTCCTTTTAAGTGTGCCAGACTAAGAGCACTCTTAGCTGGTAGTCGGCCAGTGTAGTTATAACGTGCTGCTAGACTGTGAAAAGAAGGATTGGCGAAGCTAACTTAAGCACTGAATGATTTGAAGCTGAAACTGAAGCAGTTGATACCCAGAACTCCTACCGATGATTTGCATACAAGGCTTGCGCTCAGTGAAAATACCTTGTAATAGAAAAGTAAAGCATTGTGTGGTTTTTTCAATGCATTAAGTGAATCAGATCCTCACTCTGTGATCACGGATTAGAGTTTAAATGGAAATATGTACTCTGCTTTAGTATGTGTTGTTGCTTATCAAATTATCCCGCCATTCGCTTGGTAGATTGGTAAGTTTCCTATGGGCACGAACTACTCATGCAAGTTTGTCATTGTGTCATATTTGTGCACTGAGTTAGATGAGAAAAGTTAATGTAAAATTGCCATCATTTTCGCGTGAATATTTCAACTCTTAAACATGGAAACGTGTAGTACGTGACGGGATAGAAACGAACGTATCTGGCCATGACGTTAGTAGTGAGAGAATGTTTTACGACGCTGTTTTGGTCTGAGTTTCCTGGGAACACCTGGAAGAGGAAAAGATTCATTATTCATAAAGAGAAAGCCGTACAGTCAAGCAACACAAAATGCAAGTTTATTGTTAGAGGATTTTGCGATAGGATCTAAAGTACACCGTTCCTCCAGCTTAGACGCTGAGACTGAAACTTAAAGAAAAGTCTATGATAGAGTTGTGAGCTTTCTCTTGAATCTAGCCGCAATAAAACACATATAAGATAATTCCGATAGCTTTACAGCGAAGGAAATTGTTGTTGTTGAACTTGGATCTTTATCATGTTATTTGAGACCGCTATTGGGTCCATTTTCTCATTTCTCTCTCTCAAAAAAAATTTGCTATTTATGGATGAGTTTATCAGTAGATATTTTGTCGAAATTTTGCAATAGTTTTGGCAAGTTGATCACAAGAATTTTATCCAGCCGTTCGGTGATCACACTCGTTAATAACGATAGTTACAATGCAGCTGGCAGCGCCTGTGGGCACTATGGAGCCTAACCTGTGTTCTGTCTGTCTACCTGGGAGGGCAAGATTGGCCCATCTTGCCTGCTCTGGATTAGCCGTTCCGATTCCGCGCAAGAAAATAAGTTTCGTGGAGTAGACTCACAAAGTTCGTAATTTTTTGACAATGTCGGTGATGGAGTCGCAAAAAGCGGCAGAAGATAGGCAAAACATAGAAAAAACTAAACGACTCTCGTAGGTTTATTGTGGTACAAATACAGTTGGCTTTTTTTGAAATTCTTATTCAAGCGGAGTGTTTTTGCAATATAATAAATCCTTCATTGAGCAAGCGTGAGGTCGAGATGGTTGAATATTAGTCCCGTTCATTTTTTTGCCCTTTAAAAGACCTTGACTTCATCTCGGTCTATAAAAACGCAAAAAATTAAAATTAAAAAAATAAAAGAACTCGGCCAACACTTGGGTATCTTGACCCCACGCTTGGTCAGTAACGCATACATCACACTCTTGAATGCAGCAGACCGATTTTGTAGATTACTCGTTTAATGCGCAGACCGAATTGGACTCCACAAGGGCCTATAGCTGTTATTTATAGCTGTCGATCAAATTAACCTTCAATCATTGGCATTTCCAAACCTTTTCAACATTTGATTCCTTGTAAGTTTTCCAAGTTACACCGTCTGTGGCTAGATGCAATTTGTACTTGGTGGTCCATTCGCGAACAAGCAGTGCTCCTTGGGTAGCCACGGCACAAACGGAAAGCACTGCACCCATATCAACTTGAAGATAGTCTGTTCTATCGTATTTAGTCTGAGGACACCATGCTCCCCTTCCCCTGGTTTCATTTAGTCGGCCGTAGTATGGATGATAATTTCCATTATAGAATGTGCTTGCTTTAAGTGCGGCATCTGGAATTGTGTCACTGTCCTCCACCCCAACTGGAACACATTCTAAATGGGAGTGAATCGAATAAATATTAAAGCTTATTCGCATGGTATCATAAAACCTACATTCTATGTTTTGTTTTGGTATCTACAACGCTTTATTAAAAGGATCTGCCCAGACTTCGGGTTCGTATCGAGCTGCGATGGATTTTAAAAATAATAATTAATGAAAATAAAAATAGCAATGATAATTATAATAACTACAATTGTAATGATAATAGTTATGCTAAAAATAACAATAATAATGACAATAACATTAGGAATAACATTATTATTAATAGTAATAATAAAGGTTATAATAACTACAATGAAAACAATAATTACAATAAATAAAACCCCAATATAGGACACACAGGGTAGACTCACCACCAATAATAGTCAATTTCATTTCAGTGACCGCCTTATATACTTTGTTAGATGTTGCTGTACAGATATAAGTGCCTGAGTCTTCCACTTTTGCGTTACTGATTTGAAGTGTTCCATCATGACTGACTTGTGATCTGCCCACAGGAAGATTGCCTCTTTCTTTTAACCACGTGATTTTTGGTTGAGAGTGACCAGTAGCCTGACAGGGGACTGAAATGGTTTTCCTCTTTTCAACATAAAGCCATGCAGGTGGTGTTTTTGTAAAACGCGGCAGCTGAAAGACACTCAAGTGCGTCCAAGCTGAGTCATGTCCTAAAATGTTTGACGCTTTACATTCGTATGAACCAAAGTCTGCCATTTTCGCATGTAATATAGTCAGCTGTCCATCTTTCACAACAGTCCTAGACTGCGCTAAGCCATCATTTAATTTGGACCACGTGATGACTGCTGGTGGAAGGCTTGTCACGTGACATTTTGGTAGAGTGATGTTCTTTCCTATTTCAATGTAGGTTGGGCCCGGAGAAAGTGAAACTTGGGGTGGAGCTGTGAATAATTGCGTAACTCGTTAGTACCGTTAAACTAAAGTTACAATTTCGGCCACTTTACAAACTAGATGGATTGAAGTTATTCTTAGAGTAAAACGTATTCCTCGGTGATACGTTTTGTTCATGTGAACACGAAATAAAAAGGAAAACGTGAAAAATATATAACTTACATTGAACAACAAGACTTGCAGTTTTTTCATTCTTTCCCAGTATACTTCGCGCCTCGCATCTGTATTCGCCCGCATCTTCTAAGCCGACATCAGTGATCTGCATCAGGCCATTTGATGTCACTTTGGTCCGATCGCTAGGCAACGATCCCTTGGCTTTTGACCAAGTTATTTGAACAGCGGGATTTCCAGAAGCAGAGCATAGAAGCGAGGCCGTCTTGGTTTCGTTGACAATTAGTTTTGGCGGGGAAATTGTCACATTTGGAGGCGAAAGAGACTCTCCTGATTCCCCTTTAATTCCCGGGATACCTGGGATACCCGGTGGCCCGATGTCTCCTTTAATTCCCTTTTCTCCTCTTACTCCGGATGGTCCCATCTTTCCTGGTTTTCCGCTCCGACCAGTAGCTCCTATAATTCCTTGGGGGCCTTTCGTTCCTTTGTCACCTTTGGGTCCTGCTCTCCCCGGAGGTCCTGGCCGGCCACGAGGACAAACATTCAAACCAGCTTTGTTGTGGCAAATACTCCAAGTGAAATAAACAATGTCCTCTATCATTTTCCTAATCCCAGCTGAATTATTAAAAGGTGGTGGATGTGAAATACTACGCTTCATTCGATTGATTTCAAGCTCGGCAGAGGTGGTTTGTATGACTGAAAATATATCAAATATGTCAATAAAATAGGAGAGTAACTTAATAAGACCCTTCATTGTCATCTCAAATAACATGATACAGATCCACGTTCAACTACAAACACTAGAAGCAAACGACAATGGACCTTTTTACAGTTCCCGGCGCCATATTGGATTAGTAACCGCGCACACACGATAACGAGGCTGGGGTTGACCCGGCGGTTCTTTCAAACCGCTGATCTGCTGACATTTCACGTTCTAGTGCACTTTTCAATGGGATTTCTTCCTTCAAAATGCTTGTTTAATACAACAATATGGAAATTTCGTCATTAGATGACATCCAGAAACTCGAAGCAAAAGATCTCAGGGAGATTTTAAAATCTAGTTCAAAATCGACAGGCGGAATTAGAGCCGACTTATGCTTACGTTTATTATGTTTATGCTTTGCTGATGTAACACGTCCTTCCATCGAGTAGTGGAGAAAACCGAGAACTTCTTACAGGACTTAGAACAAGGCCAGAGCGACTTCAAATACGAAGCAACTATGGTAAGGATTTCAGCCCTTGGATGGTCGAGCGATCTCCGTAATTTACCCGAGATGAATTTCACTCAGCTTTACGATTACCCCGTTGTTTCACGAGAATATCGCCACATCGTTTTGAGAGGAACGCATTACAGGAAGTACCACAGAAGTTGTTCAGTATGGCTTAGA